ATGGCTACACTCTCACTTATCAAAACAGACATGGCTGCACTCATACATATCAAAACAGACATGGCCGTACTCCTACCTATCAAAACAGACATGGCTACACTCTCACTTATCAAAACAGACATGGCTGCACTCATACATATCAAAACAGACATGGCTGCAATCCTACTTATCAAAACAGACATGGCTGCACTCCGACTTATCAAAACAGACATGGCTGCACTCCGACTTATCAAAACAGACATGGCTGCACTCCTACTTATCAAAACAGACATGGCTGCACTCATACATATCAAAACAGACATGGCTGCACTCCTACTTATCAAAACAGACATGGCTGCACTCCTACTTATCAAAACAGACATGGCTACACTCATACATATCAAAACAGACATGGCTGCACTCCTACTTATCAAAACAGACATGGCTGCACTCATACATATCAAAACAGACATGGCTGTACTCCTACCTATCAAAACAGACATGGCTGTACTCCTACCTATCAAAACAGACATGGCTGTACTCTTACCTATCAAAACAGACATGGCTACACTCATACATATCAAAACAGACATGGTTGCACTCCTACCTATCAAAACAGACATGGCTGTACTCCTACCTATCAAAACAGACATGGCTGTACTTCTACCTGTCAAAACAGACATGGCTGTACTACTACTTATCAAAACAAAAATGCACTTCTTACTCACCTGATTCCCCTCTTCCTGGTTCCTCTAGTAACAATTCTGTCAAACAATCCCAATCTTTGACCATATCATTGACATCCCATAGAGCATCTACCAAATAGGCAGCATGTTCATGCAGCTGGAACCATAAAATGAAGCTATCACTTGATAAATCTCTGTATCTGTATCTACATACATCAGAGAAATCTATGAAGTACAGTACAGGGGTCATGACAATTTCAATAATTCAATTGAGTCTGTAGCTATCACAGTTAACTGAACTGACGTACTGACCACAATAAAAGCAGTATGTGTCAAATCCAAGCGAAGTGCTGAACAGCTGTTTAACAGTGGCGAATTAACGAATAAACAAAACCCAATCTATAAGACATTCGACTGCGTTCAGTTGGGGGCTAAAAAGTGTAGACCACATTTAATAGATTTTATTACTCAAATCAATATCAGTGAAAATTTATTTGGGTTTTGATGACACAAAGTGTCAGTGATTTTTGCAGAATGCCACACAATCCTGTCTATGCTTATTCAGTGCAACAGCTCAATAAGGGGTGATCTCATATTCAAACACATGGGTCAAACCACCCTGGGTCAAACCTGGGTTAACCCAGCCTGCCCTATTCAGACCTACTAGACCTAAAATATGCAAATTAGTAGTAGGTTTGAACCTAACCTCCGGATTAACTGCCCATTAACGCCCCCACTGAAAACAAACAACAGAGAACAAAGAAGACAGACCTAGAGAAACCTAGGTTTTTCTTACAATACTGTTTCAGCCTGGTTTCAGTAGGAAAAAAAATAAGATGTATATGGGGCTCCATGTTCATACTGAGTGTTATATTTTGAAGTGTTAAGAATTACTTGCATTTGTTTCACAAATCTATTTACA